GGAAGAATGTCAATTTTTTAACGCTATCTACATCTTTGATGTCCCTTTTGAAAAAGACAATACGACTGAGAGAATTTAAAGTCTTGCAACAGCCTCATATTATCTACAGATTGGCCTTCATACAACCTGTCCCTAAATTCTTTTTATGCTTAGGCAGTCCCAAAATACTAAAGGGAAATTTCACACATGTGACAGACTGTGGATAATACCATTTTGATTTTCCATTGTACTTGTGGGGGCAGAGGGGAGACTGTTGTACAGTGGTACCCCGGGTTACAGACGCTTCAGGTTACAGACGCTTCAGGTTACAGACTCCGCTAACCCAGAAATAGTACCTCGGGTTAAGAACTTTGCTTCAGGATGAAGTGGCAATGGGAGGCCCCATTAGCTAAAGTGATGCTTCAGGTTAAGAACAGTTTCAGGTTAAGAACGAATTAAGTTCTTAACCCGAGGTACCACTGTACTAACCATTTCTCTGAAGGGGTGTGTGTGTGTGTGTGTGTGCGCGCGCGCTTTTATGCCTTCTAGGGCTATGCACTCAAGTCCTGAACCAAACCAGGCCATTTTGTGGGGCTGCGGGTATGAATCCATGCATCACTCAAATTTAGACAGCCCCAGATCACTGTGGGTCAGATAGTCCAAAGAGATCCAGGGCTGTTTAGGAGAAGAGTGGTAGACAGAAAGGAGAGAGAGGCAGTGAGTGTGGAGAAGAAGAAACTCTGACTTTGAGGGACCTCCTGGCTGCATTTTCCTGGGATAAGGGAGAAGTGGGATGGGGTTGGATGCCTTTGGATGCATGGCATGGGCTTTCTCTCCCAGCTTCTCCTTCTTCCCACTTAATGTCCAGCCCCATGAAGCAGCCTGTCTGCTGCTCCCTGAGCTGCTCTTTGGGGCTGGGGGGGGACCCGGGCTTCCCCCGCCAGCCCCGACAAACTCCTGAGCAGCTCTGGGGTAGCCCACAAAGCCTCCACTGGGCAGCGGAATGAAGGCTCCCTGTTGCCCTGCAGAGGCTTCGCGGGCTACCCCAAAAGCCAGAACAGCTAGAGAGAGCACTGCGCAGCTTCTGCCTTAGTGGTGCAAAAAGCCCCCAAGAGTCACACACACACTCCACATGGCTCATGAAAGGGAGCGTTGAGCAGAGCCTGGGATGCATACAGACTCTGCTCAGCGCTCCCTTGAAATAATATTTTTTTTTCTTGAATTCCCCCTCTAAAAACTAGGTGCGCCCTGTGGTCAGGTGCGCCTTATGGAGCGAAAAATACGGTATTCCTTGGGTAGTTTGCACTACTAAGAAGGCCTTCCATGACATTTGCACTGTTTGGTTCTACACAGGAGGGCAGGTTAGAAATCTAAATAACAACAGCAATAAGCATTGGAAAGGTGATTCAGTGAGTGATCACAGCAAGCTTTATCCGTTGTGAAAGTAAATGCCAATGGAATCAGCATTTGGGCTATGCAGCAATAATGTATCTTGCTTGGCTGAGTAGTTCTTAAATTATTGATCCCATTTGTCTGGGGACTTGGTTCTCTCCCCCCACCCTGGTTGCCTTTCTGGCATCAGAAGGGCTTTGCAGCCAATTCACAGACTCTGGTGCAATTAAATTTACAAATGTGTAAAGCCGCATTGGTCAGGCTCTGCAAATAATGGATGATGATGTGGGGAGTTGGCGTCTCGTTTCTTCAGTTCCTACATCTCATTTCCTTCCTGTCAGCTGCTCTCTTGACAGCATCAGCACTGCACAATTGACAGCTTCTGAAGGCATCATTTCTGACAATCCTATCTGGAGCTTGAATGGAGGCCATGATATACAAAAGTCAAAGGAGGGTTAGAGGGAAACTTGGCATACCAACAGCTCTGGATGATATCCACTTTGCTCTGGGTTTTTCAATCTCTATCTCTTGCCTCAAGCACGAAGCGTCTGACTTGCCAATGACCTCCTATGTGCCATAGCCAACTGCCTTTGGTGTGTCCATCACCCTCAGCAGCATTCAGACTCTTGCCCTCAACAGCTCTGCGCAAAAGTACAGCTGAGGGCTTAGAATCTGCGTCTGGCCTATTTCCCCATAAAGCTTTCTATTTGTTTGGGATCTGGACGAAAAAGGCTTCCCACAATGATGGAGATGATGTCTAAATTGGCCAGCCTTCCCCGTTTCAGAGCTGTTCATTTTATCTCCTTTATATGAAGGGTGGGGAGCCTCTTCCAGCTTGAGGGCCGAATTGTCGGTATCCTTTGGGGGTCGAGATGCCAGCTGGCTAGCCCCCAGCTGGATCATGCCCTTCCAGCCATGACGATCCCCCAAACACTGGTGCGACGTAAATCAGCGACTCAGACTTCAAATACCTGAGCACGCTATATTAGCAGAGCATACTGCGCAAACAGAACAGGCGTGAGGCTTGTGGAAACATACTAGCAGCTAAAGATTTATTAAGCATAAATCAGGACAGAGAAAACATGTCGTCTCCCTTTCTTCTCCTCAGAGAGACAGAGTAAAGCAAAAGCTATACACACAACAGAAGTTCCCAGCAAGCTGTGCTGGTATGTAAACAGACATGCGACATGCAACAGTTCCATGTCTGCAACTAAAGGTGGAATGGAATTTTCCAACACGAATTCCCTTCTGGGCAACCTTCTGAGGGCCACATGTCTGGTGGGACCAGACGTAAAAGTAGGTAGAGCAATGAATGCAAATGTCCTCCCTTTATGCAGCAGGCTGATTTCTACAAACACTCACATACCCCTCTCCATCCTCCATCAGGGCAAGCAAGAAACAATTATCAGAGTTCAATGACACATTCCAGGCAGGTGGAAAAATTCAAGGAGGGTGCAAATGAGGATCAGTAGGGAGTGTGGATGAGGGTGGGGTTTGCAGTAATAAGGGCCAGATAGACTTGGAAGGTCTTGCCCGGCCTTTGAGCCTGAGGTTTCCTGCCTCTGCCTTATATGAATTGGATGTAGGCTGAAATTTAATATCACTTTGCTCTGTACCATAGAGCTTATCTGAGAGCTCTGCTGGATTTATTTGGACAACTTATTTCTGTATCTTTATTCATAGTGGCCAGCCAGATGCCCCTGGGAAACCCAGGGAAGGGACACTCAGGCTCACCAGAGAGCCAGTGTGGTGTAGTGGTTAAGAGCGGTAGTCTCGTAATCTGGTGAACCGGGTTCGCTTCCCCGCTCCTCCACATGCAGCTGCTGGGTGACCTTGGGCCAGTCACACTTCTCTGAAGTCTCTCAGCCCCACTCACCTCACAGAGTGTTTGTTGTGGGGGAGGATGGGAAAGGAGAATGTTAGCCGCTTTGAGACTCCTTCAGGTAGTGATAAAGCGGGATATCAAATCCAAACTCTTCTTCTTCACCCACACTTCCACTCAGCCTGTATTCTCACTGTATTGTGTACCAATTAATCCCAACCCAGTCCAAGGCTGAAATCTTTTCTTGTCATTCTGAGGCTATGCCTTGCAAAAATCCGATCTTACCTGCTGAATTGGATCCTATCAGATGTACAGAAAATTCGAAAAGAGATTTTTCTTAATCAAGCTTAAGTTCAGCGGGTAGAGTGGGTTTTCATAAAGCACAGCAATGGAACAATGGGAAAGGCTCTCAGACCCAGGGGAATTAATCAGTACACAATACGACCAAACTACAGATCAAGTGAAAGTGTGGATGAGCCCTTAGTGCCCCTCCCCTGGGCTTCCCAGAGGCATCTGGCTGGCCAGCATTAATAGAGGTACAGAAATAAATTGTCCAAATAAATAAATGCAGTAGGGTTCTTATTTCTTCAGAGGATACTTTTTATATTTCTTTTTATGTATTTAATCGAAAAGATAATCAGTAACATTGAAATAAAGCAGAAACAATACAATCGCATTAAAATTAAATGGACACACACAAAAACAAACAAAAAGAGGATACAATTCTGGGTTGTCGCATTCACAATCCCTGGGAGAAACAATAATTATTATTGATACATGAAGATAAATGTTTTATGTTTTCCCCAACCTGACTTCCAAATGTGGTGAAATCTGTGCATAATGTCTAGCTTTATAGATGCTTACGCTTGACATTCATTCATTTCATTTCATTTTCATTCATCCCACAATAGCTAAGAAAAGCCAATAAGATAAACAAAGCAATTCAAAACATCTGGCCTCTCTGTCCTTTCTCAAGCTGATGGCCTTGGATCATAAACCTTGGAGAAGGCTCCATTCTCCAGTCCTATTCATGCAGATGGAAAAGGGTTCTTTAGATCTTCCCTCCCTCCACCATAACTGATCTCCATTTGCTCCGCCCCTTTCAGTCTCCCCTTTTGCTTCTACGGGATTTTTGAACGCATCCTAATCAAGAAAACCTTGCTTTTAATGAAAGTGGGAGTGGGGGGGGGAGGCTCTGGAAAGGGTCACCAGTGCTGCACATTTCACCAATCCAAACTCTTTTGATAGAATGGAATCTCTTTAGCTTCTTGGTTGATTTTTTAATGGTGACAGATGTACTGATCGCCTTTCAGTCATCTGTCATTTTCAGTATCACCCACAGTTTACCTCTGGAATCAGTTTAGGGAAGAAGTGAGTCTTTTAATTAAAACAGTCTGTTGTGATGAATCTGTTATTACAAAGTCTTACCTATGTAAAACATTAATAATACAAATTTCATTTGTTTATGTCAGCGTTGAGCATTAATTTTTAATGGTGCAATGTATGAGTTATGAAAGGCATTAATGCAAAACAAATCACCAACTGAGCGAGGGAAGGAAAATCCATTTATTTCTTTTTTTTTCTTTTTTAGGGCAGGCAGCAGGAATGAAATATTATTGCGATTCAATCTAGGAAAATTGCATTTATTTATTTATTTTAGAGGGATTGAATGCTTTCTTGAAGGAAAAAAAATTATTTTTTAAAACAATCCAGCGAAAGCTGTGGTTTTATCAACCTGCTTAATATCAGTGCTAAATTGCAATAAGGATTGTATTCCATTTCGACCAATCAGAGCGCTCGCTGTGACCTCCAAGGAAATGCTTTACATGATTACACTGCCATCAGCATGGAACACTCAAGGGGGGGAGAGATCCAATATTCTTAGCAGATGTAAGAATGCAATATACTGGGCTCACAAGATAACCATGTCGGTTTCCTAGTGCTGCCTCAGAAGGACAGTTCAAGGGCAACTTGACCTGATCCACACAAAAGACTGGCCAGGTGGCTGTTGGGAGAGAAATGCAGAAAGAAGCAAAGTGTCTTGATTTTGCTACAGGTATTTTAAAAAGAAGCTTGTATACAGAACGCCCCAAGTTCAATCCTTGGCACCTCCAAATAGTTTCATTCATTCATTCAATTTGAGATACCACTTACTTTTTCAAAGGTAAGTTGGGCAAACTCTCCTGCCTGAAATCCTGGAGAGCTCCTACTAATCTGTGTAGACAGAATCGAGCCAGACGGACCAATGCTCTGGCAATTTAAGGCAGGTTCCTATGCTCTGCAGCAATCGACTCGTGCTCATCCCTGCTCCCAGGTGTGCAATGCAGTATATTGGGGGTGGGAGGAGAGAGGCAGAAGAATAGGAGGCTTTGTTTCTTTGTTTGTTTGTTTGTTATTCAGCTCTTGTTTAATGTTGCTAGTCTATTTCTGGTCTTTCGTCCTCAATGAACATCTGACACATTGAGCGATGTCCATCCCAACCATGAAACGCCCACTTCTCTGTCTCTCTCCTGCTTCATTCTGTCTCCCTCCTTACCAGCTTGAGGAACTGCTGACTTTAGCAATAAAGCTGAAAATTTAATATCATGCTACAAGGCTCGACAACAAACCACCACCAGGTTGTATCAATACAGCTGCTCTCAGATCTACCGGCAATGCAAGGCAGAGAGAAAACAAGATGATTTTTTTCTGATATGAATTCTACAATATTGGATTTTCTCCTGCTCGCACCCAGAGCCCTTTGTACACATTCCAGCTTTTCCTTCCACATGGTACAGCAGCTCCATTTGCTGAGTGACAGGGCAGATGCCACTGGGTGGTGCGTCTCTGAGAAAGATGCTAGGCTTCTGCTCAGAGACATCTTTCTCTTATTAGAGAGTGGACTGGCACCCTTCCCCATCAAAACAGACAGTATCCATCACCACACACTTTATAGTATACGCAGCATACCCCCCAACATTCTCTGATGAAAATAGGGATGTCCCATTCCATAATGATAATTTTACTATTTATACTCCACACATCTTACTGGGTTGCCCCAGACACTCTGGGCAGCTTCTAATATATATAAAAACATAACAAAGAATTAAACATTAAAAAAAACCCTTCCCCATACAGGATTGCCTGGGAGCTTGGGAGTTGTATAACTCCATACCCTCCAACATTTCTTTGATGAAAATAGGGACATCTGAAGGAAAAGTGGGACATTCTAGGATCAAATCAGAAACCGGAACAGCTTCTCTAAATCAGGGACTATCCTGCAAAATAGAGACACTTGGAGGGTCTGGTATACAGTAGTTTGATCAGGCCTTTTGTGCCTTTAACTTGCACAGTTTCAACTACATGTGCTTGAAGGCCAGCTGGCTGAAATCCCGCAAGTTAAATACGGAGCTGGCACAATGAGAGTCCTTGCTCAGGAAGCAAGGCAGAAAGCTTAAAAGCTCTTTTTGCACTGGATTTTCCCAGCACAAAGGGCGCTTTTAAGCTCTCTGCATTGCTTTCCAAGCAAGGCTCTCTCTTCTTGCCAGGTCTGGGGTGCTCCCAAAAGGTCTTGTGGGAACTCAAACATCCCCAGATCTTACAAAAGCATCCTGGGGCTTCTGGAGAATAGCTGTTGCCATCAGAATGTTTACTCAGAATTTCCTGTTTAGCAGGCTAAACATACTCACCTCCCTTAACCATATCTCATAAGGCTTAGTTTTCAGACCCTTTATCATCATGGTCACCCTCTTCTGTACATGTTCCAGCTTGTCAATATCCTTCTTAAATTGTGGCCTCCAGAACTGGACATAGTATACCTGGTGTGGTCTGACCAAAGCAGAATGGGATGGGAATATTACTTTCCTTGATCAGGACACTATACTTCTGTTGATGTAGCCTAGAATACCATTAGCTTTTTTTTCTTCTTCTTCTTCTTCTTTTTTTTTTTTTTTTTTTGCTTCTATATTTGTACAGCTGGCTATTCCTGCTTAAGTGTAGAACCTTACATTTGTCCCTGTTGAAATTCATTTTCTTTGTTTTGACACAATTCTCAAATCAGTTTGGTCATCTTGAATCCCAATTCTGTCTTCAACAGCATTAGCAGCCCCTACCAGTCTGGTGTCATCTAAAAATTGAATGAGGCTCGGAAAAGAACCCTGCAACACCCTACTTGTCACTTTCCTCCCGGATGATGAGGAACTATTACTGAATATTCTTTGGGTTTGGTCAATTGACCAGCTACAAATCCACCTAACAGTTACCTTGTCTAGTCCACATTTACCAGCTTCTCTGCAAGAATATCATGGGGAACTTTGTCAAAAGTCTTGCTAAAATCAATATGCGCTATGTCCACAGCATCCCCTGGATCCACCATGCTTGTAACTCTATCAAAAAAAAATTTTATTTGTCTGGCATTACTTGCTTTTGAGAAACCCATGCTGAGTCTTCGTAATCAAAGCATCCTTTTCTAAGTGCCCACAGACCAACTAAATTATCTATTATAGGTCCTTTCCTGGTACTGATGTCAAGCTCAATGGTCAGTAGTTATCTGGGTCTTCTCCCCACCCCAACCCCCATCCTTCTGAAGATGTGGACAACATTTGCCCACTTTCAGTCTTCAGGGGCCTCACTTGTTCTCCAAGAGTTCTCGATTATAGACAGAGGCTCTGAGATTGACTCTGCAAGCTCTTTTAGTACCTTCAGGTGCAGTTCATCAGGCCCTGGAGATTTGAATTCATTTAAAGTAGCTAGATGTTCCCTTACCAATTCTTTTACTTTATTGGGCTTCAACTCTCTCCTTGCATTGATTATTCTGTTATCACCATGTTAGGCACTGGTTTGTCAATTCAGACGTTCAGACAATTCAGACCCCAAACCATAATTAGTGCAAATCATGGTTTCCGGTTCTGGATCACTGGCTGATCACACAAATCATGGTCTGTCAATTCAGATGTCAAGCCCAAACACTTAAGTATCCTTATCCATAATTGAATACGATTCTTGAATTCATGCATTCTCTGTTGGAAACAGTAAAAAGACCAATGAAGAGCTACGGTACTTAGAAATGTGCTGATTTTAAGTGGTGCCTGAAGAGCAAGGGACTTGTTCTACAGTGAAAATGTCAAGAGACTTTTCTTGCCAACAATAGATGTCTGAGCTTTCAGATTTGCTTCCTCAGACCATAGCAGAAGGGTGACAAGTGGATTTAGTGTGTTAAAGAAGCATGCCCTCCGTGCTGCTATGAGTTCTCTGTTTAATAAGAGCAGCCAAAATGGATTCAAAATTTTGGTGCCAAGAATTTCATTCAGGGAAAATTTGAGAAGGATTTGTTCCTAGAAATGTCCCAATTTTGGGGGACCAGTGCAGAATCATAGCCAAATACGGTAAGGGACAATAACTCTTTTTCTAAAGGAAAGTCCTTTTAAAAGCACTTTGTGCTCTGGAGAAGGTAAGTAGTTAATGGTTGGTCTACACAGGGTAATGCAATGTTGAATTCCACCCTGTGGATTTTAACTAGGAAATTTGCACAAATCCCTGTCCCTCTTCCAAGCCAATGCGAGACAGGGACTAGGTGCAGTCCCTCTCAACTGATTGGCAGGGAGCAGAGCAGGGGTCTGGAGTGGAAGAGGAAAGGGGAAGGGGCTAGGATGGAGAACAAGAGGGTGTGAAGGTGGGACTGAAGTGGAAAGATAAGGAAGGTGGAGACAGTGGGGAAGAGCAAAATGAGAGAAGAGAAATGACAGAAACCCCTTACAGGCAGAGAGATGGAAGAGAAAACCTTTCTATCAGGAGTAGGTATCAGAGGTACAAACAAATATGAAATGGAGGGGAGAGTGAAAGAATGAAAGGAAATTCAGAGAGGCACTAAGAGGTCCCATCAAGGCTCTTCGGATGGCTTATCTTCACCCGTTAGAAATACAGCCATATTGCCAATGCCTGGGGTGAGTGAAAGAGGGCAGTACACCAACAGTCTCTGTGAAACACTTGAGAGCTTCTGCCAGTCAATGTAGTCAACACTGAGGTAGATTTATCCACAGTGTGACTGGGTTTCAGGCAGCTTCCTCCATTCCTAGGAGTTTCCCACCACACACACACCAATTATGACCTCAAACCCAACTTACATGACCCAGCCAATGATAGACAAGGCTTACATGTAACTCCATAAATGGCAACTGACTATGATGCAGCTTCCATGGGCTGCACTCTCAAACACCTTATCACACTGTGAGGGGCCGGGCCTTGGTCCAGAGACCATTGAGGGAAGGAGGAAGAGGAAGAATGTGAGGGAGGCTACTCCTCAGATGCCTTGCCTGGCGTGGCCCTTGGTGAGGGGGAGAAGCGAGGTCCGCTCAGCTGGCCAGCTAGCCAGCAGCTCACCTAATGGACAAACTGATGGAAGGACTGCTCACTTGCTCCCTCTTTTTTTAAAAAAATGCTATGTTATTGAAAAATTTTCAAATACAAAGCTGTAAAGTGATACAAAAAAAGAACAAAACACACAATTTTGTAAAGGGGGAAGGAAACATTATACGAATATATACAAAAATACCCTAACCCATACATCCTTTTATAAATTTGATATTATTATCCTAATACTAATGTAAATATTAATAGCCTACTATATTTTGCATAAATTCATTCCAAATATTGTCGTATTTATCCAAGCAGAGTCTATATCTTTAAGCAGTCCATTCATAGGTTGCAGGTGTTATCATATCAATCCACTGATTAAAGGAGATGTCTTTATTCTTCCAGTTCATCAATATCAGCCTCTTGGCTACGATTAGAGCACGTGAAGACCATTTTTGTTGTCTAGTTGGTAACTTCCATATAGTAGGTATTTAGCTCAGAAGAATATTTTCTGTTGAAAATATTAAGGTTTTCTTTCCTGAACAGTCATATTTATACAATCCAGCACTTTCTTCCTAAATTTAGTATAAACATATGTTTCAGGGATGCACCGGCTCTCTCAGGCCTTGGCCTCACCTGCCTCCCTTGGTGACAGACAAACGGACAGATGTGTGTGTATAAGCACACATGGCTGCCAGAAACAACAGCGCTGCAACCACCACTTCCTTTTGTAACCGTGCTGCCATTCGGCCAGTTCCCTCACACGCAACGCCCCCCTCCAAACCTGGACATTTTACAATATTTTAAAAATCCGCCCACAGTGATTTCATCCCTGAAAAAGAGGTCATGTCTGGGAAAATCCAGATGTATGGCAACCCAAGAGTGCTGTGTATTTTTCCATGTACATTTTTAAAAACCTTACAGCGTCATTCAGCTTTTCCAATTCTTGTCTGTGTCCTCTTTTAAGGCTTCCAATATGAGGCTAGCTAGAATTGGCTGAGGGAGCTGAGCATGTTTAGTCTTGAGAAGAAGAGAATGAGAGGTGGCACGGTAGTCATCTTTAAACATCGGAAGGGATCTGACATGGAAGAGAGAGCAAGCTTGTCTTTTGCTACTTTTGCTGCTATGACCTGAACTAATGGATTCAAATGACAAGAAAGGAGATTCCAACTAAACAGTGGGAAGAAATTTCTGATGGATTCCAACAGCGTCTGGAGGGTCACAGGATCCCCATCTCTCTTTTAAACATTATAGGCTTCCTTTAAAAGAAAAGATTCCATTTTCATCCCCTATAACATTTAGATCAATTAATTCATTCACACATCACTTTAAAACAGCCTGGTGCAACAAGAAATCATCTCTCAAGAATTTGCCAGACATCAATGCTTTTATTTTACTGGTAGTTTGGCTGACATTTTATTATGTCAGTTCGTTCTTTCCTCTTTTGTTTGCATTGCTATTAGCCAATTCCTTGTCTATTCATTTAGTTTATATTGCTATTAGCACCATTACATTGACACCAGTGAAATACAGACTCGGATAAATTTTAAAGAGAAATACACAATAAAACCCAGGTGATTTTACTATAACTCCATATTTATCTAACCATCATTGGTAGGAAATGATTTCAGCTATGGGCTGGATCACATTCTTGACAACCAGTGATTCTGCACATGTGAGGGCCCAACCTGCATCCCACAATTGAGATTTGCTGCTTTCAAATTTTGACAAAGCTCTGAGTTGCAAGAGGTTTTTTTTCTCCCGATTGCTAATGATATCAAAAGTGCCGCATCATTAAAATGGTGGAGAATATGGCATCAGGTGGTCCTTAACATTTTTTCCTGTGTTCTGGTTCCCAGGCTCAATTCCAGGCTTCTGGTTCGTGACTGACTGCTGTCTAATACCACAGCCTCAGCAAGTTATCAGTGAGATAGTATACCTGTGTCTGGAATATATTGCTTTAGACAATAGGTGGGAGCTTGTATACCCCCCCCCCAATTCCTTCATACTCCAACATAGAAAACTAGATGTCAGTAAGGATTCTAACCTAGCATTCACCCAGATATACTAGGATTTTGAGAAAGTGAGGTGGGCGCCAATCACAAAACATCTGCCATGGGGCTCTGTCATAACATAAAATAGCTGTCACATCCAAGACATCAGAAGAAGAGACAGAACCACAAAATGGCAGGAGCAACAAATTATCCCTCCAGACCCAGGTTTAGCATTGCTATCACTCTTTCCAGAAATCCTGCAAAATGTGGTGTTGTTGTTGTTTAGTCATTTAGTCGTGTCCGACTCTTCATGACCCCATGGACCAGAGCACGCCAGGCACTCCTGTATTCCACTGCCTCCCACAGCTTGGTCAAACTCATGCTGGTAGCTTCGAGAACACTGTCCAACCATCTCGTCCTCTGTCATTATATAGAGACTTAATTACCCACCTAGTAACAGCAGCTAAGTTGGAATACACCCAGCATTAGACATACTATTCCCACTGCACCTTAAAAGGCTGGTGAAAAAGGGTATGGCAGTTAGAAGTTGTAGGAAAAGTTACAGAGTGTAACAGACAGCTAGGGATTAAATCTAAAACATCATTCTCAGTTACTTGGTCTCTGTTGCTGAATTTGTTTTGTGACAAAAGGGAGTACTCCTCCCTCAGAGGTTCATCACCCATTATGGACAGGTATTATACCTAAACAGCTTTGGTCCTTAGCTTAAATTCTATATATTATCTTTGTTGGCTTTCTGTATTGCTGTCTGTATATTTCTTAATTATTGTATAGGTTTTCTTTTCCCCCCTGTGCATTTAAAGGAGGACTGGAACTCAATTCTTAGTTGTACTTATGAGTCTTGTTTATTGATATGTAATTTTAAAAAACTCTAAGTTAAAAAAGAAAATAAGAAAATAAGGGAGGAGACACCAGCATCAGGCACCACCATGCTTGTTCCCTGAGAAGCTCTTTGCACCTCTCCTCTTTCCAGAACAGAAGTGGGCAAGCATCTGTTCCTAGCATCCAATTAAATGTGAGCATCTTTTAGGGGGCATGTTAATTGTAGAAGCTGAGCCAGTGCAAAACAGGTGACTGAGCAGGAAGAGCAAAGAGTCTCTCGTGAACTGTGGATATTTGAGAGGATATTTACTGAAATCTTTCCTGGCTTCCATAGGAGAAGCTTATAGGTACTCTGACTCCTATGGGTGCCACACGCACAATCTCTGTGCCAGTGTCTAGTTTCTAGGCATGATCCGTCACATGAATCTCATGTGAATCTGTCATGGTATATCCCTCACAAAAGTCTACTGCCACAGTTATGTAGAATCAAAGGCCTATAGCAAAATGCTGAATACTTCCTCCATGTCAATCCCCTGTCAGTTATCCTTTTTCATACTGTAATTTAGGCCCTTTCTGGCAGCTTTGCATCCATCCCCATCAATATAAATTATACTGCTAGGCTGTCTCCTGAGAGATGTAGTATCAAAATATTTTATTAAAGTCAAGATTAATTACATGGCTTGGCCCATTATTCTTTTTGTTTCCTCCTGTCAAAATACATCACATCATGCTGATGTGGTCAGAATCACAGAAGCACCATCCAAAGCTGAACACTGGGAGATTTGGGACAGATGAAAGGAAAGATTTCATCACACCACATATAGCTAAACTATGGCATTCGCTCCCTTGAGAAGTAGTTATGGCCACCAACTTGGATGGCTTTAAGAGAGGAGTTTAAAAATCATGGAGGATCAGGGTATCAGTGACTACTAGTCACCACAGCAATGTTCTCCTTACACTGTTGGGGGCAGCGTTGCTGAGAATCAGAAATGGAAACACTGTCGTTATGCTCATGCCCTGTTTATGGGCTTCCCAAAGGCATCTGGCTGGCTATCATGGGACCAGAATGCTGGACTAGTTGGTTCATTGGCCTGATCCAGATAAGATTTCTTTTAAGAATATGAAGATGTAAAAGGAGCCTAAGGACCTTATCAAGTCAACATTGCCATGCCTTTCTAACTGGGTGTTTTCTGAAAATAAACAGTGGTGTTTCTATTACTGATAAATGGCCTTGATCAGTATAGTCTAAAAATATTTACAACCCACCATTATGAGTCAAACTCCCTCAAACTGGCTTGCACAAGCATAAATTTTATATATTTCTCAACAATAATAAAATAGAATACAAAAACCAATAAACCAAGAATATTAATAAAACTAGCAATAATCAATACACATTCAGTGTACTAATAAAAATTACTGTATGAGTTTGTCAACCCCTTTGCCTTGACATTGGAATTCAGATATGAGGCATATGGCAGGGGTTGGGGGGCGCCTTATTAATTACAAGGCTTTGCAAGAAGCAATGAGTGCTTTCAAGTAACACTAAGTGCATGCAGCCTTGCTGAAGAGGACTATAGGGAATGAATCCCATCGCCTTCTTATTGTGCCAGACTACCCTGGTTCCTTGTACTGGAGCCATTAAGTCATCAATTCCCCTTGAGCCAGCCACCAATAGGTTAGGAAACTATCTCTTTGCCAAGCAGGTGCTTCAGGGTTCTCACCAGGTTCTTCTGAATTCGTCGTCCCTGCTCACACTTCCTGCCAATGGCACAAGCCTGTCAATCAGTGAAATCATATTGCCCACAGGCCCTCTTGTTTCAACAGTTTGTGTGTGTGTGTTTTCTAATAAACCCCCAATAATAGCCAAATTATAACAATAACAATTAATTCCCAAATTATACAATTATCAAAATGCCAATTAACTTCCAATTAATACATTTTAGTTAAAGTGGCTCCCCGTATGGTGGACTGGATGCATTTCCGATCTTATATCACTGCATTCCATAATCTTAATTAATGTCAGCTACATTTCAGTTATAATAATAATCCCTTAGTCAACAGCTACATAATTAATGATTTCCATTTGTGATGTTACAATATATAAATTTATAAAGCTTCAAGTGAGGAACTATTATCTTTATTCTGCCCTGCAGCTGAAAACTGTTATGTCCATGGAGATTCCTTCTGTCCATATATGGTGTTGTCTCTTTTGCTTCCTAGCTGTTGTTTTCTCCCATCGTGGCTTGGGGCAGAACTGAATCTCAAAGTTTCTCAAGGTCTTATCTCTCTGTCCCTTGCTTCAATGTCTTGGAACAGGCTAGAAAACATTCTGTCTCACTAGTAAAACATGTTGCAGGTTTTCTCCATTTTCCCCTCAGCCTAGGAAAAGGTGGGTAGTTTTCAAACACTCAGAAGATTTAATACTCCTTTACAACTCCCATAATCCTTGCAGTGTTCTTATCACAGCCCCAAATTCTTTTCCTTCCAGTGAGAGATTTATGGCCCAATTAAACTTTATCTTAAATTACATTCTGTCAGTAGCACACACAAATCTCAATCTCTTTTTCCTTGTCTGTTATTTTTAAACAGAGGTGAGGGGAATTACTCTGTCTTTCCAACACAGTCATACTAGAGCTTCCCCTCTCCCACCTTTCTTAATTTCAGATCACACAGAGTTTTCATTTTTGCTTGTTAATATCAATATTGCTCCAACGTCCCTTCCTCACTTGCAAAAATCTTTTTATTATATTCTGGAGAGAGTTGCCGAATCATAAATATATGAAAGCTTAGAATAAACAAACCATGAGCTTCTGTCTCCCCAACTGACTCTCACGCTGAAAAAAAAACTTATCTCAATTCTAACCTTTGATCCATGTAGCTGGTATATTCAGTAATATGTTGTTGCAGCCCTTTTCCATCATGCACCAGTACTTTAAAGCCAATTAAAGATCCAATTAAACAGAGAACCTGTGCTTCTTAATGGCAGCGTAGGAGGTTCCAGGTGAAGTGCTTTTGCACTCAGTGCCTCCCTGCCTCCCACATTCCATGCCAGAGTGAGAGCCAGGTACCGACACAAACTGCAAATGAAGCCCATTCCCCTCTGTCATCCTTGTTTTTCATTTGTCAGTGATCCCCCGCTTTTGTGGGGGCTGCCTCCATTAAGGTAGGTAGGACCGGAAGCCTCTTGATTCAACAGTTTTAAGCAAGCAGAAAAGAAAACAGCCACCAAGCCATAGCTGTCAATCTTCCCTTTTTTTGTAGGAAATTCCCTTATTCCAGCGCCGTTTCCCGCTGCTTCTGCTGCTATCCCGGATTGTTAGATATTCCGTAGACTGTCCCCGGGACAGGTGAGGCTGCTGATCCCTTATTTTCAAATCTGAAAGTTGACAGCTATGCACCAAGCCAATCATGCTTTCAACAACAAACAAACAAAAATCCTTCTTCTCCCCAATTAAGTGACCAACTAATCTAACATAGGTTGGAATGAGAACAAATAATTATCCAAAACAAAAAAATAAGGTTAAAGATAAAGCTGATGCTTTAAATTGGGTTTCAAAATGCACTAACAACCACTGCAGCTGCTACAATAATTGTGTCAGTTCCCCATCAGAACTTGGGTGGCCATATTTTGAACCAGCCACATTTTTTAAATTTGAAGGCAGCCCCACATAGATTGCATTACAGCAGTCATACAAAATTTCAAGGTGGATGTGAAGGCTCCTGTTGAACTGAAATGCTTCAGGAATACAGAAAGAAAGGAAAGATTTTCAATGAAACCAGCAAAATCACTTGGGGCAGCAAATATGCACATCTTAAAGTTGGCAGTGATTTAAGAGAAACGTGTAGCTGGATTTGGAGGTTCTTGCTGGACCAAAATATCCCAGGGCTTCCAATGAGGATACTTCTGAAATTGTCCCTTAATACTGGAGATCCAAATTTCCTGGGTCTGTTTTGAAAAGCAGACCAGTGTGCAGTGGAGGAGGAAGAGGGGTGTGAGGGAAGTGCACTGCCCCCAGCAGCATAATCTCAGTGGGGTGCCATCGTGGCTGGCCCGCGCTGGGTGTCACGCCCCCAGGACATGCATCACGCCCTTGCGGGCGGTGTGCCATGCCCCCAGGATGCGTGCCATACCCCAAGGACGCATGCCACGCCCCTGCGGGCAGTGCGCCATGTCCCTGGGATGCGTGCCAGCCCCGCCCCTGTCTGCTCTCTCCCCCCCCATGCCGGAGCATGAAGCTCCACCACTGCCAGTGTGCTAGGAATCCTTTAGACAGGTTTTTTCATCCCTAGCAGAGCTGATCTGCAATACAGTAAAAAAATATAGGTTTCATCATGTACACTAGATTTCCATGGGGAAACCTTCTCTGTCTCTGATCAGTTATTTGGAAATGTTCATGTAATGCAGGAGTTCCCTTCAGATGTTTCTGGATTCCAACACTCATCATCTCTGACTACTGGCTACACTGACTGGGGCTGATGGGAACTGGAGTCCAACAACATTTGGAGTTTCCAGGTTTTCTATCCTTGCTGTCAGTACCTTTTTCTGGGGAGACACAGGGGTACGCGTACCCCGAAACATTTGGAGCAGCAGCAGCAGCAGCGGGGTTTTGGATAGTTTAGGTGCCCTGCCGAAAGAACGCGAAGTATTCTCTTTGTGGGTGGGTTCCTTCCCCCCCACCCCAGCCCACTGTATTTAGTTGAGGATTCTAGCTGGGCTTTGGGAGAGGGGCGCAGGGGCGCACTTGAACTGAGAGGAACAGGCGCACCGTCCCCAACTCCCTCTCCTCAGTAGCTCCGAGTGGAGTGACTGATGGGACACTGCCAGCGGCGTCCTCTCCACACCCCACACCCCCACAGCTTTTCCCTAGCTGGGAGCGTGCCTAAGGCTGAATGGAAGCAGCCTGGAGGCTTGGCGGCCTCTCAGGAGATGTTGAGCAGAGGTTCTGAGAGGGCGTGAGGGATGCGTGGCGGTGCCTGTGCGCGCTTGACTTAAGAGGGCGACGTGCTGTCTCTCCTCTCTCTCTCCCCGCCCCCATGGACACAAAGTCCCCCCCCCCCCCCGCACAGCTTGGCACTAATACAGCTACAGCTGGTGCTGTTTGGATGAAGGTAGCTTCTTCTTAACACTGAGCCACTGAGGGACCACAGTCTCCCACCCTCTTTTTTGGGGGGGGGGGGGATGCTGAGCTAAAGGCAGTGCTTTTTCCCATTTACTGTATTTATTTTCCCCGATTTGAACTATAAAATGGTGATTTTCTTGAGTAAAAATGAGAGTACCCCTAAATTGCTTGCCATAATGCAATTAGTATTTATGATGTTGAATTCAAACCCATTGTTTGTGTATCAGTTTTTATGGCAGCGGACAGGCACAGCTAAGCAAGAGATTACAGTTAGGGAAACATGATTTGATATGGCAAATATAGAACAAGGAACTGTTATTGGTGCAGATCAGCTCTGCTGTCAGACCCTGGGCAGGATGTGAAGCAAAGGGAAAAGGGCCTGTTTTGTTAACAGGCACGCCTGTTTCAAACATTCTTTAGATCAGGACAAAGAGGCTGCAAATGTGTTCATTTTGTCATCCCTAGTTGACTAGGTGATTCTTTTTGTAAAAGAAGCTCTGTCTTTATTCTGAAAGGGCTTCTTTAACCCTTAATGACATCAAGAAATAGCCAAATCTCATTGGACACATACTGCGATGCAGCTCATCATGCTATTTTATAGTATCAGGGTTCATCACATCACACCTCACAGGTGGGCATCTTCATTGTACAGCTTTCGTAGTTCATGGAATATACACTTCTTTATCCTGACCTTTGACTCCCTGACACACATTTTTTTCTAATGTAAGTTGTCTTTACTGATTGGGATATTTTTATACTGTGATGTAAATTGCTTTGCTTGATTGTAATATTGCATTATTCTGTGTTGTAACCTGCCCTGGATGTTAGGGTGCAGGATGGTAAGAAATCCTATGAAACAGACATAGACAAAACACACTACACAATCCCTAGCTGGCTGGGAAATGAACAAAAGGGGGTTAAAATATCTGCTCGAGCATCAGCAGCACATTGGGGAGGCGTGGAGAGAAGTACTGCTTATGATTGCCAGCCATGAAAAGTGAGATAAACGAGTTTTAAGGAATTGTTTCTAGGGGATATCCTCCACTACTACTCCCAGCACAGCAGGGAACATTTGATACAGCTATACAGCAATATGGAAATGAACACAAAGTATTTCCACAAAGAATCGAAGACCTGGCACGTTCCAGCTATGAAATCTTAAGGATCTAAAGGATATCCCTGTTAACATTAAAACAACACAAAACAATTAAAACTTGCATCGGGTTTATGAATTCACACCATTTAAGAAGTGGGGGGGGGGAGAATATGCTAATGGACTGAAAGGACTGTGAGCTATATGAAATTCTGTACAACCTTTAGAAATATAAAAAGAGAGAATTCCACTTCACAAAGAAGTCCAAGGGATATAGGGAACAAACATCATAGACTTGGAAGGGACCTGGGAGTTCTCTCTAATCCATTCTTCCCCAAGCTGTACTCCAACTCTCACCAACTCCAGTCAGCACAACCAATGGTCAGGGTGATGGGCTTGGAATCCAAAAACATAAGGTGGATGAAAGGCTCCAATTTGGGGAAGGATGCTTTAATCCAGGTGTGGGGACCCTAAGGGCTTCTAGATGTTGCTGAAGTACAACTCCCATCAGTCCTCATCAAGCATGTTCAATCGCCAGGGAAGATGTGAGTAGTAGTTTAGCAGCATCTGAATACAAAGCTTTCCCACAACTGCTCTAATTTAAACCCCATGCTCCATGCAGGACTCAGGCTGCAACTACAGCATCTCCAACAAATGGCTTCCCAGCCTCTCTTTAAGTAGCTCCAGCATAAGAAAGTCCACCACCTCCCATTACAGTCTAGCAGTCATTGTGGTCAAGCAGCTAATACTATTGGGACATTTCTCCTGAAGTTTAACTGAAATCTACTTCCTGGCCATTCCCATTGATTGGTTCTAGTCCTGTCTAGGGAGAAACAGAGAACAATACCTCTCTATCTCAAATGAGCTCTTCATATATTTGAAGACCACAATAATTTCTTCCCTCAATATCCTCTTTTCCAGGCTAAACATATCCAGCTCCTTCCCCTGTTCCTAAGAGAACTTTGTTTCCATAATTCACTCTATCTAGGGAGATAGACAGATGAGAAAACTTTTAAAAGCATCAACAGCCTTTGTTAGGGAAAAGTTTTTGTTAGCTTTTGTTAAATTAAACCACATAATTAGACCACATGGGTCTTCAATTGTTCATCTCCATGGTTCAATCACAAGTACAGTGGAACCTCGGGTTAAGTACTTAATTCGCTCCGGAGGTCCGTTCTTAACCTGAAACTGTTCTTAACCTGAAGCACCACTTTAGATAATGGGGCCTGCTGCTGCTGCCGCGCCGCCAAAGCACGATTTCTGTTCTCATCCTGAAGCAAAGTTCTTAACCCGAGGTACTATTTCTGGGTTAGCGGAGTCTGTAACCTGAAGCACATGTAACCTGAGGTACCACACTGTACAGTGGACGCTCGGGTTGCAAACATGATCCATGCGGGATGCAACCCGCAGTGTTCGCAACCTGCATCTGCGGGTTGCGATTCAGCGCTTCTGTGCATGCGCGACCGCTGAAACCTGGAAGTAACCCATTCCGGTACTTCCGGGTTTCGGTGGTCCGCAACCTGAAAAAATGCAACCTGAAGCGGCTGTAACCCGAGATATGACTGTAACTTCAAAACCTTCCATGGCAAATATGACTTTCAGACTCCAGTGTGTAACCTGAGGTGGAAGGCAGAGCTGAAAACAGTAAATGTAGTAGCAAGAAGATTGCCTTTAACATTAGTAGCCATGTCATCTGAGTTAGTAGTGGTCAGGAACTAAATGTGGTCCACTAGAGGACCACATTAGCCAATTTCTAATGGATCATCTAACCCAGGCTTCCTCAACCTCGGCCCTCCAGATGTTTTGAGACTACAATTCCCATCATCCCTGACCACTGGTCCTGCTAGCTAGAGATCATGGGAGTTGTAGGCCAAAAATATCTGGGGGGCTGAGGTTGAGGAAGCCTGATCTAACCCATATTTGGGCATTCAAAGAATATGTGGCAGAGATAAAGCATATAGGGCAGGATTTACCTGGGCCCTTGCAATATTTTACTCAAGTTGGCACTACTGCCTCCAATATTCTGCTGTTGAAAATCGTGATGCACATCTTTTGGTGCTGCGCTCTCATAGAAGCCAGCTGACTTGTGCAAGCGTGCAGCACCACTGCAAGTGCTGGATCATGCTCCTCTGCAAACTCGATGGTGGCGGCGCTGGATGGGGAAAATGGGACATTCTGGGATAAAATCAGAAGCTGGGGTGGCTTCTGTAATTCCAGGATATCCCAGGAAAATCAAGACACTTGAAGGATATCGGTTTCTGGAAGTTGTAGTCCAATAACATTTGGAGGGTACCAGGTTGAGAAAGAAATCTACTCATATATATGTTGTTAACATACCTTCAGACTCGACTACAGCAATGTCAAGCTAGGACAGATTTGTCCATTAATTTGCTGTGATGAGTGCTTCATCAGTGTTTTTTACAGCCCCAGAAGGGATGGCAGATGAAGGAACAGAAGCAACTCCTTGCTGACTAGTTTCTAAAAGCAGTCATTTGAGCCAGGGAAAAGAATGATCAATTAAACATGTAACAAGGGGGGAGAGATAACAGCAGACCCATGAAGCAGGAGCTCTTAAGTAACTTGGCATGTTTCACAGAGACTGAAACCCAAAGCTGAAAAAAGGAGAGCAATTAGAAGCTCCATTGATGCTCATGCATTTGTCATCTTCCTGTTCTCAACGGGATCCTCCTCATTCGTTAGGGAGTAACGGCATGTAGTTTCAAAGCACACTGAGAAGAATGCATTTATGCTCTCAGTGGCACCACTGGAGGATTAGCCAAGTAGTTCGTTGCCACTTCCTCGGTTGCTCAGCTGGAGAAGTCTACCAAGTTCTGACAAGATGTCTGGACGTTTATGTTCCCCATGAAAGAAAGTCATTGCCCAGGACTGGCTCTGGAATTATGTGAGCTTCCAGGCACCACAGTATCACTGAGATCTGATCCAATCATGCTACCTTCTTCTCTCCCACTCACTGTGGGCCCAGAGAGGAGGGGGCTCTGGTGGTTGGAGGAAGGCTCTGACAGCTGTTGCCACCATTACTAAGAAGGTTCTGAGAGATGAAGGATAGGTGGGGAAAGTGAGTTTGCATTGTGCTGTTTGGCATTCTTGTCAAAGCACAATGGAAAATGGACTGGTAGCATCTGACTTGCCCACCAACTCAGTTCAGCTACACAAGAGGTGATGAAACCCAGAACCCAGGGCAGTCCACAACACTGCCAGACCTCTTAGTTTAGTGCAAGGGTAGGGAACCTGTGATCCTTCAGATGTTGTTGCACTGCAACTCCCATCGTCAAGCGCACCAACTCAAGGAGATCAAGTCATCAGCCTGGCCCCCTCAATGTCAAGCGGCTCCAACACACTTGGTGCGTTTGCAATGTCATGTGTCACTGCTTCAGTGCCTAGCTTTGCCAGAGTGCTTGTCCTCCTCCAGAGGATGCAGCATCACATGAGGTTGTACCAGTTTGTGCAGCATTGGCGGAAGAACTGGGCGATACTTGGTTTTCAACATCGTGATATATCAGCAGCTAAATACCTCAATTTGCCCAGCCCTACTGAGCGAGCACCATACAGCTCCAGTTTGCATGAGCTGAAGAGGCATCGGGGCTTTGTTGAACTTCTCGGGGGGGAGGGTGAGTGAGCCCCTATACCACTCAGACTCATGCAAGCCAGAGGGGCACTGGGGCTTTCTTAAATTGCTCAGCCCCACCCCCATACCCCTCTGGCTCGCATGAGCCAGAAAGGCAGGGGGCTTTCTCAAAGGTGCAGGCAGGCAGGTAGACAGAGCCTTTGCTGTCTGCGGGCAATTTCAGCTGGTATGACATTGCCAGCTCAAATTGCATACCCTCCAACCTTTCTCCAATGATACCCCGCTCATCCGACTGGGTTGCTCCAGCCACTCTGGGCAGCTTCCAACATATATAAAAACATAATAACACATAGGGCTGCCTTCAGATGTCTTCTAAAGATTGTATAGTCACTTATCTCCTTGGTTTGGGGATCAGATAATAAATAAATACAATATGAAGGTCCAAGCAGTATGGTGATTAAAGGAAAGAAGCAAACTTTTAGTGGTAAATTGGGGTGCCAAGTGCTTTAGCCATTCCCACCACACTCCCCCCCCCCCCAGCACTTTATTTGCTAGGCTTTTCAGTCTGCTAAGATTTCAAGATGTATAAATCAGGACACAGACACCCCACAAGGGGGGGGGGGAGCTTTCCCTGACCTTACATGAGAGCTGTGTATTTTAACTTACATTCTAAAGTTGTGTTTAGAGGTACCCAAGGTGATTTGGTTAATCTCCACACTAGCTATCCAAATGCCCATTGGCCTTAGACGAATAACTTTTAATTAGGACTGAGAGAGCTTGGGGGATCCTTTTTGCTAGCAAGCTCTCTCTTTCTTTCCTTAGATCTTTCTAAAATTGTAAAATAGAGTCAGCTTAATTGCAATCAATGGATAATGCACTAGGGTGGGGTGGGGATCCTGACATTGAGGCATGCAGCGTAAATGGGAGACCCTAAAGGGGGAAAGTGGGGAAGGAGAGACAAAGAGAGAGGCCCACAAAGGAAGGTGTCAGCAGAGATCCCCCCCACTCAGGAAGTCTTTCCCCCTGCTCATGGGCAGCTTACTGGGCACCAGCATGGCCAAGAGCTAATAATAGTAGTAGTAGTAATAATAATAATAATAATAATAATAATAATAATAATAATAATAATAATAATTTATTATTTATACCCTGCCCATCTGGCTAGGTTTCCCCAGCCACTCTGGGCAGCTTCCAACAAAATATTAAAATACAGTGGTCTGTTGAACATTAAAAACTTCCCTAAAGAGGGCTGCCTTCAGATGTCTTCTAAAAGTCTGGTAGTTGTTCTTCTCTATGACATCTGGTGGGAGGGCATTCCACAGGGCGGGTGCCACCACCGAGAAGGCCCTCTGCCTGGTTCCCTGTAGCTTTGCTTCTCGCAGTGAGGGAACCGCCAGAAGGCCCTTGGCGCTGGACCTCAGTGTCCAGGCAGAAGAATGGGGGTGGAGACGTTCCTTCAGGTATACTGGGCCGAGGCCGTTTAGGGCTTTAAAGGTCAGCAGCAACACTTTGAATTGTGCTCGGAAACGTACTGGGAGCCAATGTAGATCTTTCAAGACCGGTGTTATGTGGATAAGCTTGGATAAGTCTAGGTAGCAGGCTTGGATTGGCTGCTTGATCATGAGCCCAGTCCCAACATCCAACATGCAGGCACACCATAGATATAGGAAAAGTAAAATATGATACTCACACACACACTTCCTTGCTCTGTTTGCAAAAAAAAAGTTTGTGCCGATAGCTGCCGCAGTCGGCTCAGGAAGGGAAAGTGAGACATTCACGGCTCCAACCAGAAACCGGGATGGGCTTCTGAAATGCGTGATGTCCCGCTAAAATAGAGGCACTTGAAGAGTTTGAAATTGTCTGAAACCAGTATCGTGATCTGAATGCCATACCGGTTTCTGACAATTTATCAATTTACCACACGGCTCTAGTTGGGAGACAGTGCTAGGACCAGCATGGCCTATCAGAAAGCTGCCCTAGTCTGTGCAGTGTGGGGAGATGCACGTGTGACGCCATGCGACATGCGTGTGTTGTCACACAAGCGTGCCACACGCTGGGCCCCCTCAATCATGGGGGCAACCTGGTGCCTCTGCCCATTATCCCTGCCCACTGGCCAGGCTTGCTGGGTGGCTGGCGAGAGTTGGAGTCCCCAGCACCATGCAGCTAAAGGATATAAAATGCTTACAGCCCGTCTGACTTCACTCCTCAGAGCTCTATTTCCAGATGGTCTCTCTTTTTCAGCCTGAAGGCTGCATCAAAATGGTGGGTGGGCTCAGAGGCAAAAGTGGGCAGAGCAACAAATGTAAGTTTCCCTTTTGCACATTAGGTGTGTTTTTACACACAAGCAAGAGATCTTAAGCTTGGGACGCAGGTGGCGCTGTGGGTTAAACCACAGAGCCTAGGACTTGCCGATCAGAAGGTCGGCGGTTCGAATCCCCGTGACGGGGTGAGCTCCCGTTGCTCGGTCCCTGCTCCTGCCAACCTAGCAGTTCAAAAGCATGTCAAAGTGCAAGTAGATAAATAGGTACCGCTCCTGCAGGAAGGTAAACAGCATTTCCATGTGCTGCTCTGGTTTGCCAGAAGCGGCTTAGTCATGCTGGCCACATGACCCGGAAGCTGTACACCAGCTCCCTCAGCCAACAAAACAAGATGAGCGTCGCAACCCCAGAGTTGGCCAGGACTGGACCTAATGGTCAGGGGTCCCTTTACCTTTACCTTAAGAGGTCTTAAAAGAGTTCATGGACACGTTGCAACCAGGCAAAAATGCTGAATGAAGGTACAAAGCAGGGCTGACTAGTGGTGCTTCCTGGGGAGAGGGAAGGTGGCCAGGGATGGTGTGTGGCCTGTGGAGAACCCAGATAGTCAGACAGAGAAGACTGGAGGGCCACATTTGGTTCCCCAGGGCCTGAGGTTCCCCACCTCATCTACACTCATCTCTTTTCCTGTACTTGCTCCCTCTCTCTCTCCCTTCACAGCTCCTGACACCCCACCACTTCCTCCATTGTATGTGTTGATGCAATGAGGATAAAAATGGCATTGTTAAATGATACTGAGGCTTCTTTTAAACCCATATGCTAAGTGACATGGATGCATTCATGATCTGAAAGCCCCTTTCAACCAGCATTTGCTGGTAGTGGGGCTTGCAGTGGTGATGGTGGAAATATAAAGCATTACAACTACAAGCTGTTCCAGCTAAGCTTCCCTAAACAGATAATTGGATCTGCATAATTGGCCGCTGCTGGGACTTAAATAATTCAGCGACATAGCAGCCCATTTGTAAGAGGCAGAGTGAGCCATTTACTGTGTCAACACATTGCTTGCTGTACCACTGCTATGGCCACAGACCCCAGAAACCTGCTCTGCCCCATCCCACCAGAGGAGGGCTCCAACAATTTGGAGGGCTACGCAGAGACTATACTCCTGAACCGCTGAAATTTGCTAGAGAAGGAATTATCTTCTTATTCATCTGACATAAACAGCTCAGGACTGCATACTTCAAGGACTGCCTGTCCCCATATGAACTGACCCAGACCCTGCGACCATCATCTTTGTGTGCCCCCCTCTGAAGGCAACAGGACAACAGGCCTTTTCTGCAGTGGCTTCCTACTTGTGGGGTGTTGTATCCAGGAAGGCTGGCACCATCATTATATACCTTTGGGTGCCAGGCAAAAACATTCTTCTTTACCCATGCCTTTGACTGATTAAACAATCCTTTTCAATGTGTTTGTGAGAGCGGGATTACTGAAGGTTTTCGTTTGCTTGTTTTGTTATTGTGTTGTGTATTTTGTGTTTTCATTTTGTATTGTTATATTTAAACCATCCTGTGATCTTTGGATGAAGGGTGATATATAAATTTAATTAATTAATTAATTAATTAATTAATAACAACGACAACAATTGTATACAACACTTTACAGATAAGGCCCTAGGGTCTCATAAATCTATAAAAATATAAAATCAACACATTCAAATAAAGGTCAAACATAATAACAAACATTTTCATCACAATAGGAAAGGCAGCATTTAATTATTTGTCATTTCTGTATAAATGCAACAACAACCACAACATCAATATAACACCTCAAACCTTGCTTGAAACAACAATATAGTCTTCTCAGTAGCAGCAGCTCCCATACTTTGGAACTCCTTTCCCAGAGAAGCTGGACTGGCTCCCTCCTTGTCCTTCCTCTGACAGGCCTTTGGAAACTCTTTTTTTAAGGAAAACTTTATTATATGTATTTTGATAGATTTGTTTTTAATTCTATTACATGTTCATTACTCTCTAATGATTTTTTTTTTAATGTTTTGAGCTTGTTGCATTTTATCCAAGTTGTCTTAATTTGTGTTAGCTGCCTTGCTTTCTGGTCAGGGGAAAAGGCAGGATATAAATAAATATAATAATAACTGCTGTGTGCAAAGGATTATGACTCAAGGCTGATGCTGATTTAGATTTATTACCTGCCTTCACCAAAAGGTCTCAGGGCAGGTAAAAGCCATGTAGTAGAAACACAATATTAGCATCAGTTAAAATATTTTACAAGCAAAATAATTGGGTGGGTTCTAAAATATATTATGTCTCAATGGTCAAAGGGAAGGATAAAGAGGTGGGTCTTTAGGATATGATGAAATCTATACAATGAAGGTTCCAGGCACACCTTTGTGGAAAGGGAATTCCACAACTTGGGGGCTGCCACTGCGAAGGCCCTTCCTAGGCCACCACCCTCTGAACGTCCAGAGGTGGCACAGGCCCCTTTACTGATCTCAACACTCAAGAGGGTTTAAAGGGAAGAAGGTGGTTGACAATACTGAGCTAGATAAACCAGTTGCAAGCAAAGTGTGTGCTCTTCTGCCGAGCTATGGTCTTTCTGCTCTATTTTAGAAATAGTAAGCCAGTTGCATTGCATAGCTTGTGGCTGTCACTCAAACATTCCCTGTGAGTACGGTCTTTGGAGCCAGACACACATTGACCTGGGATTTGGTTTCTCAACATCCTGCGCTACCAGCCAGAAATCTTGTCAACTGGTGTTGACACACATACACATACACACAGTTTCATCTGTTTGACTTTTTATCTCTGTGAAATCTCAGCTCCTTTGCTCATAGCCTAAGGCTGTTCACTGGGTAAAAGAAAACATACTTTCCGTCTTA